ATAGATGGGTGAAAACCAATAAACACTGTTCCCACCAAGTCTAACCTCCTCAAACAAACCTTGCTAGAAATGTGTATCTCTGTAACTTACCAGCTCCAGCTTCATAATGTGCACACAATCCCTCAGGATGTGTGTTGGAGCTCCTAATAGCTTGGTGAAGGCTATTAACGTATTAGCTTTAAATGGTGGTCCTGCAACCTACAGGGAAAATAAAGCAAGTTACTCTTCATTCTACCTTAACCATTCTGTTTCATTAATTATATTCAAATTATGCATTATTAAACACATACTCTTGTTTCAAAGAATTTCTCCAAAACTTGAAGTTCATCAGGTTTCCATTGTCCTGCATTTTCAGGTGTCACTTTTAGCTGAAGTGTCTGATTGGTTTTGGGACTAAGGGCTACTCTGCATTTCAGTGCATCCGTCTTAAACATGATCACTCCGGGTTCGTTGGAATTGATCAGCTGCAGCTGCAAAACAAGGACGCATCAAATTAACATGTAAGTCAAAAAGAAAATGATGTTACTGAGAGAACCGTTCCAAAAGAAAAACCACTAAGTTGATACCTATTCCAAAACAAAGGCAGCTACAGCATTGACCATCAACTGCTAGCAACACTGCAAAAACAGATACGATCAGACATTATGTGCCTCTTGATGGAAGAACATAACACTACCTATGAAGTATTCTTGTAAAACAGCATCAAAAAACTTGAGCCTGAATTCATTCAGTAGCTTGATCTACAGGACTGACCAATGTGATAGAAAACACAGGGATCAAAAAAAATTCAATGATTCCAAATTGCATAAGGATAAAGAAAAAGAACTACAGGGGGGAACCAATAGTTTGAAGGGGATTTAGAAAAACTTATTTGGGTTCTGATTCAAAGTGTAAAAAATGAGACAGCCTGGGAAATCTGGATATTAACTAGATATGTGATGATAAAGAAATATTTTCTTTAGGTATGAGAATGGTGTGGGTTATTTTTTTCTTTTTTTCAAAGAGTCCATACCTTTGAGAAACGCATGCAAAAATTTTTATTGAGGAAATTATGTCTGAGATTTGCTGTGAAACAATCTAGGGGGAGGAGTTACAGATGAAACAACACTGATATGAGTTAACAGCTAGAGGTGGGTGGTGAGAGCACAGAATTTCATTATACTATTCTACTTCTGTATATGCTGAACATTTTCTACAATATTTTTAAGTGGCACATTAGAAAAAAAGAATACAGAGTACAATTACAAAAGGTTAGATCTGGATTAGGCTCTTATTCTAGCCCAGGGGTTGACAAACATTTTCTGTAAACTGCTATGTAGAAAAAGTTGCAGGTTTTATGCACTATATGGTCTCTGTCACAACTATTCAATGTTGCCACCATAGCTGAAAGCAGCTATAGACCATACATAAATGAACAGGTATGGCTGCGTTCCAATAAAACTTTATTTACAAAAACAGGTGGTGAGAAGGACAGCACCAGGGGCCATAGTTTACTGACCCGTTTTAGCGGAGTATGTTGATTATGCACCTGAGCAAAATGAAGCCAAAGAGCTGAAAGCTTACACAGATGGTAAGTGGCATAGCTGAGGCTAGATCCCAGGTCTGATGATTACCATTTTGAATGCTAATTTTAGTTTATTATTTTTCTTTTGAATGCTAATTTATTAAAAAACATTTCCCCACCAAATCTTAATGTGAAGGCTGCAAAATGGCTTCGCACTAAGCATGGAGTATTTTAAACATTCACCATTTTTAGTTCTTTCTTTATTTTATTGTACTTTAGGTTCTGGGGAACATGTGCATATTATGCAGGATTGTTGCATAGGTACATACATGGCAAGGTGGATTACTGCCTCCATCTCCCCATCACCTATATCTGGCATTTCTCCCCATGTTATCCCTCCCCACCAATCCCACCCCCTGCTGTCCCTCCCCTAGCCCCCCCCCAACAGACCCCAGTGTGTGATGCTTCCCTCCCTGTGTCCATGTGTTCTCATTGTTCAACACCTGCCTATGAGAGAGAACATGTGGTGTTTGATTTTCTGTTCTTGCGTCAGTTTGCTGAGAATGATGGTTTCCAGAACTCATCCATGTCCCTACAAAGGACATGAACTCATCGTTTTTTATGGTTGCATAGTATTCCATGGTGTATATGTGCTATGTTTTCTTTGTCCAATCTATCATTGATGGGCATTTGGGTTGGTTCCAGGTCTTTGCTATTGTAAACAGTGCCACAATGAACATACATGTGCATATGTCTTTATAATAGAACAATTTATAATCCTTTGGATATATACCCAGTAATGGGATTGCTGGGTCAAATGGAATTTCTATCTCTAGATCCTTCTCTCTGTTGCCCAGGCTGAAGTGCAGTGTCACGATCTCAGCTCACTGCAACCTCTGCCTCTTCGGTTCAAGTGATTCTCCTGCCTCAGTCTCCCAAGTCGCTGGAATTCCAGGAATGTGCCACTATGCCCAGCTAATTTTTGTTTTTGTTTTTTTGAGATAGAGTCTCGCTCTGTCTGCTCAGGGTGGAGTGCAATGGCACGATCTCAGCTCACTGCAACCTCTGCCTCCAAGGTTCAAATGATTCTCATGCCTGAGCCACCCAAGTAGCTGGGATTATAGGCACGTGCCACCACGTCGGGCTAATTTTTGTATTTCTAGTAGAGATGGGGTTTCACCATGTTGGCCAGGCTGGTCTTGAACTCCTGGGCTCAAGTGATCCACCTGCCTCAGCCTCCCAAAGTGCTGGGATTACAGGAGTGAGCCACCGTGCCTGGCCTCGCATGAGCTACCACCATGCCTGGCCCTTGCATTTTTCAGTAGAGATGGGGTTTCATCATGTTGGCCAGGCTGGTCTCAAACCTCTGACCTCAAGTGATCCATCCACCTCGGGTCTCCCAAAGTGCTGGGATTACAGGCGTGCACCACCATGCCTCGCTAATTTTTGTATTTTTTAGTAGAGACGGGGTTTCATCACGTTGCCCAGGCTGGTCTTGAACTCCTGACCTCAAGTGATCTGTCCACCTCAGCCTCCAAAATGTTGGGATTACAGGTGTAAGCCACCGCGCTCATCCTGTTCACATATCTAAAAAGCAGCTTTCATCCTTGTAACCATAAATAGTTTTCTTTAAAAATTTTTTTCTATTTTTATTTTTATGATTTGAGAGTCTCACTTGATCACGCAGGATAGAGTGTAGCAGCATGATCACAGCTCGCCGTAACCTGGAACTCCTGGTCTCAAGCAATCCTCCTGCCTCAACCTCCCAAGTAGCTAGGACTACAGGTTCATGCCTGCTAATTTTTAAAATTTGTAGAAAGAGGGTCTTGCTATGTTGCCTAGGGTGGTCTGGAACTCTTGGGCTCAAGTGAGTCTCCTGCCTCTGCCTTCCAAAGTGCTGGGATTACAGGTGTGAGCCACCACACCCAATTATTTTATTTCAATAAAGACTCAGACTCAAAATCAGCCTGCCTGCACGGGCACTCCAGAAGGCAAATAATTAATGGTATGCTGTTCTCTGCAAGGCCGGATCCTGTGCACACCAGTCGTATGTGCTGCAGAGACCTATCTCAAGGTCCATGTTAGCCACATCACATAGAAGCCACAGCATAGCAAACTGTATAATGCAGAAATATGTTAACATAAGAATGGAAAAGAAAATAATGGAGTCCATTTTTAATGCCAGGGTAGGGTGAAAAGCACATTTCTAACAAGCTCCTTAAAGGAAGGAAGGTAAAGAAATGTCATGTTAGTTCAGCTCCTATCCTGTAGGACAATTGACCATTTTACCCTTAACAATCACCACGTAGAAGGTCACTAGGTACCCATACCGTTTCTTGTTGAATAATTCTTTGAAGATGCCGTCTCATGATGACTGATCCAAGGAATCTCTCAAGTGGAGAACAAAGGTAACTACCTGCCAGGCCGGGCACGAGGCCTGGCGTTGGAGAGGGCAGCAGCAAAATGTTCAAGGCACTGTGAGTGAGGATGGTAGGTATGGATGCCGCCCAAGAGCGCTGAGGTAGTTTACGAGGTGGAGGCATGTTCGTTGGCATTGTTTGGGAACCTTTCGGGAAGGAAAACAGGTTATGTCATTTACAAACACATACCATCTCACTGCCTCCTGTTTTGCTTTCATCATAAATCCTTGATGTTCTAAATCAATCTGTACTGTTTTAGTTACTCCTTGTGGTGCAAAAATCATATATTAACAATCTGTTAGCCAAAACGGCCACTATTTTTCTCCTTGTATCCAGGCCCCTTGCAATGTGACTTTGCGGCAACTCCTTTAATGGTTGGACTCTATTTCTCCACCTGAAACCTGGCTGGTCTAGTGACTTGCTTCTGGCCAACAGAATGTGATGGAAGTGACGCTGGGCTAATTGTAAGTCTAGGCTTCTACTCCCTGCCTTAAAACCCTGTTGAGCCATCATGTGAGCAAGCCTCAGATCAAGTGTGAAAACACACAAAGAAGAGAGAAACCCTGCCATCTGAAGTCATCTCAGATGAGCTAGTCCCAAACTAACCTGGCAGCTGACTACAGACACATGAGTGAGCTGCCCAGCAGAGCCTGAATCACTCAGCTGTGCTCAGCCTAAACTGCCAACCTGCAGAATTGTGAACCAATATATAACGATCATATATTGTTTTAAGCCACTAAATGTTATGTAGTAAAAGCTAACCAATAAATAGGTATAATTCTGTGTTAACGTGTGTGGTATTGTGAAATATGTATTTGATCTTTGTCCCAGCTCCTGGCATACAAATTCTAAAATTTTTGGAATCTTCAAAGTGGTTAAGTATCCTTTTGTATTCTAATGAGATGGCTGATGGCTGGCAGCCCCTAGGTAGCTTCAGGAAGGGGGTTGATCACAGGAAAGACAAGGCACAATTAGAGGGTTGGTAGTTTCAGCCCCATCCCCAAAGCTGATCACGAGTGGCCAGTGATTTAATCAATAATGCCTACGTGATGAAGCTTCCATAAAAACCCAACAGGATAGAGTTTGGACAACTTCCAGATAGCCAAACATGTGGAGGTTCACAGAGGGCAAGGAAACTCCACTCCCCTTATGCATCTCTTCATCTGCATCCTTTGTAATATCCTTTAAGTATCACCTCTCAAAAAGTAGGTCATGACTTTCAAATGTGAGGATGGAACAACATAGGACACTTTGAGCTATACTAAAAAAGGACATAAAAATGTTGATGATACTCACTTGCTCCAGCTCGAGGGGAATGAGAAGCATCTGGAACCGGAGAATGTAATGAGGGGTTGGCTGGTGACATTCCAGGCATGCGTGTTGCTGGTGAGGGGCCAGACACTTGAGGAGATCCTGGCCAGTTCCCTGCTCGTCCACTTGGTGACACCATAGTGTATGGGGAACTAGGGTCAAGAGTTCCTATGAAAAAGTAAACAAATATTTCTCAAAACCTATATTTTAATAACTGAAAATTATTTGACAGCATAGCTTGTTTGATGTGTGTTAACATGTCATGCCTGAATCTCTATTTTGTGTAAATTACTTTTTAACATAATACAAAAATTAGAAAAATAAAAAGACTGAGAGAGGATAAAATTAACCTTCACAAAAGCTTCAATGTACTGTAATATGTAACAAAATATGCTACTATATGCAAGAAAATATTAAGCAAACAATCTCAAGAGTTCCTTTGAAGGCAGAATTATTATACTTTTAAACCAACTTTGACAAACTAAATTTTCATTTTACTCAAAGTAGAATGAGGAGAAGGAAATGTTCCATATTCTTTCTACAGGCTACGTCAACTAAGAAATGAACCAAGACTCAAGTTTTGAAAGCAGCAACTTCCTGAACAATTTGATATTTAAATTTAATCCTCCATTGGTATCCATGAAGATATTCAAAAATTTTTTAAAAATTTCATCCTCCAGATACCTTCAACATATTATCATCTTTGTAGCCAAATGACAAACTGAAAAAATACTTTTACCATGTATATATCAGAGAGTAAATGGTCTTTACTTAAGTCTTACAAATGGGTAAGAAAAAACACAAGAACATAGGCAAAGCATATATAACTGGGAGGAGTAAAATAAGAAACACCAAGGACCAGCCGGGCGTGGCTCACACTTGTAATCTCAGTACTTTGGGAGGCTGAGATGGTGAACTGCTTGAGCCCAGGAGTTCAAGACCAGCCTAGGCAACATGGCAAAACCCCAT